GCCAGCGAGGTCCCGGTGAGGCGTCACGTGGGGCGGCAGGGGGAGGGGTGCAGGGGCAGGAGTGGCCAATAAGGGAGCGCTTGGGGGAGCAGGTCACAGGGCAGGGAGCATGGGTCAAGGGGTCAGAGCAGGGTCACGTGAGGGGCCCCAGGCTGCCTTGAGAGCGAGGTGGCCATGGGTTGTGCTGCAGGGGGTGTAAGGGAGCAGGGCAGGGGTCGTGGTGGGGTGAGGAAGGGCATCACATGGGGCAGGCAGTATGGGGGGGTGGGGATCTCCCGCATCTTTGGGGTGAGGCGGGCTTGGTGGCCAATCAGAGGGTAGTGGGGAGCAGCGGCAAGAGGATGCCATGGGTCAGGGTTGGGGAGCCAGGGTAGGCAGGGGGGGAGGGGGAACTAGACCAACCCTGGCACCTCCTTCCAGGAACTGGAAGCTATCAAGGCCCGGGTGCGAGAAATGGAGGAGGAGGCCGAGAAGCTGAAAGAGCTGCAGAATGAAGTGGAGAAGCAGATGAACATGAGCCCCCCACCGGGCAACGGTAGGCGCACCAGTCCCACCTCCCTCAGTGCTGCTGGGTGGGCATCGGGCCCTGCCAGCCCAGGGTAGCTCAGCAGTCAGTCTGGTGCCATCGTGCCCCTGCCCTGGCTGCATTGTGGGGTAGCCGCCTTGGGCACGCTGCAGATCAACTCGGAGCATCGTGCTGACCCTTTACCTCCCCATTGCTGCTCTGTTTTCTGCTCCGTGCCCCTTCCGCTGCCCTGCTTTCTATTTCCAGCTCCATCAGTCTCTACTTTCTGATCCCTGCCTTGTGCTCCTTGCCCTTTTGACCACTCTTCCTTCTGGTTCCTGCCCCACGCTCTTTGACTGCTCTGCTCTGCCTTCTGTTCACTGCCCTCCCTGTCACTGCACTGCCTGTCTCTTTCATGCCCCTCCGTCGACCAATCCCCTGCCCTGACTTGCACGGGCTTCTCATGTCCCTTTTGGCACATGTGCTCACCCCTGGTACAAGTCTCATATCAGCCCCATTGCATTCTTGTAGGTTTTGCACCAACTCCCCGCTGTTTGCCTTGTCCTGATTTCTTTTGATCCAACTGCCTTAGAAACTGCAGCATTGGTGACGGATTGGGGGAGAGCACATGTCTTGCTGGGGAAATCTGGCTCACAATGCCCCCTGTTACTAACTCCCTGCTTTGTGCCTTCCCTCCCCCAGCTGGCCCGGTGATCATGTCTTTGGAGGAAAAAATGGAGGCTGATGCCCGGTCCATATACGTGGGCAATGTAAGCATGGGGCCATATGTGGAGGGGACTGTCGGTGGACCCTGGGCCCAGTTTCTCAACCTCATGCCGCCTCCACTCTTCCCACAGGTAGATTATGGGGCAACTGCTGAAGAATTAGAAGCCCATTTCCATGGCTGCGGCTCTGTCAACCGTGTCACCATTCTGTGTGACAAGTACAGCGGGCACCCCAAGGGGTGAGTAGGGATTGCTCTGGGGGCTGGGTGACCCTGGGAGGTGCTGGAAAGGAGCCCTGCCCTATGTAACCCAAGGCCAGATTTTTTTTGGAGGGTCTAATATCTAGGACCATACCTCCCCCCTCTGATTACTTATGCTTTCCCTATCTCACAGGTTTGCCTACATCGAGTTCTCTGACAAGGAGTCTGTACGGACATCAATGGCGCTGGACGAATCCCTGTTCAGAGGCAGACAGATCAAGGTGAGCCTCTGATCCCTGCTATCTCGGACTTGCCAGGCCCTTGACATCTATAATCCATGTCCCCCAGAGCTAAAATCTCCTGAGAGGATAAACTGCCATTTGTGGGGTCTGATTGTACGTCAGCTGAGACCTGCGTTGTGTTTCATGCCATTCGAGGGGCAGTGGTGCTGGCTAATGTTCTTCATTTGGTCTTCCCCCTTGTTGTGACCATATTTACCCGAATCTAAGACGACCTGAATGTAAAATGACCTCTGAACAATTGGATTCTGTATATGGAAATTTTATAAATTTATTATAATTTGCCAGGTAGAGAATCTAATTATTGGAGGGTTGTTTTCAATTAATTCCCTGTCACTGATACAGCAGGAAAAGCAGTGGCTTGGGTCCAGAACAAGGAGCAATGGTCTCAAAATGCAGGAAAGAAAGTTTAGGTTGGATATTAGGAAAAACTTTCTCACCGTGGGGGCGGAACATGACAGGTTACCTACAGCGGTGGTGGAATCTTCATCCTTGAAGGTTTTTAGAGACCTGAGTAGACAAAGCCTTGGCTGGGATGATCTAGTTGGGCTGGTCCTGCTTTGAGCAGGGGGTTGGACTATGTGACTTCTGAGGTTTGTTTCAGCCCTCATTTTCTATGATTTAGGTGGTCTGTTCCACTTCCCCATCCCCCTCCTTTGCTATCAGATGCTGCTTAGGCTCTGTTTACTCCAAGTGCTGCTGACTGGCCAGGCAGGGGACAACGTTTTCATGGGCTCTGCCTAGGAAGGAATCTAGCCAGAGCTGAGCTGTGCCTAACAGTGTGGATTGGAAGGGTCCAGAAGCTGCTGAGGGAGGGACAGATAGTTGCTGCGGGTCTGAAGAGTCAGAGCTGCGGCAGCCACCTGTCCTCATCCCATGCTGTCTACTTCCTGTCCATCCACCCCATCCCCATCTTTGTATACAAATCTAAGATGGACTTTTCTACCCATGCTGATGGGGAGGGAAGGGGGAGTAAATACAGTAACTGGTGACCTGAAACCATCACTGGTTCTCTTGCTTCTTGTCCTTCATTTATTAGGTTGTTATGGGCCTTTAATGACAAACCAGGGGGCTTGTCACTTCCCAGCACCGGCGCAGCAAAAGCCACTGGTAGATGAGCAGGCGAAGGTGTGATAGGATCTGATGTGCAATCCCCACAATCACACTTCTTGTCAGCATACTGCACTTGTGTGGTAGGAGGTGTGATGGTTGAATTGAGGATCATATCCTATCATGCCTTATTACTGGTGCAGGGAGAACCTAAGGTTGTGATGTTGGGAGCCCTGTCAGCTGATGAACCTACCCCCAAGGCTCCTGCCCCCAAGGCTGGGAGCCCTGTCAGCTGATCCAGGCTCCCATGGTGCACCCATGTGTCTGATGTGTTCCCTACAGCTGGGAGAACAGGTCAGCTGATCAGACTCCCAGCCTCAGAGGCATGCTCTGGGGCATGGGGTCACAGCTTTGCTGCACGTTCAATTCATGTCATGATAGGAACCAGCCCCAAAGTTATTACACGTTTTTGTGGAGTAACATTGTTTTATTCCTCATTGTATCATGTCATTAATTGCATTCATTTGTGGACAAGTAATAGCTTAATAAGCAATTAATGTAACATGTGCCAAGGGCTTACTAGACCTATCTCACACAGAGACCAAAAGTAGATACGCAGGGGGAGACTGAACAGGGCACATTCTCCTCCCTGCTCCTCTTCCTCCTCCACCTGCCCCGATCTACTGTGTTTAACACCAGCTGACGAACCTTTTGTTTGAGAATTGGGCCGGTCCCCTTTTGAGCTGGGTTAAACTCCTAGCCTTCCCTTACCTCTCATGGCAGGGACTTCCCTGGCTGAGTTGCTCACAGTGTGAAAAATAATTCCCTTTGGCTAGTTTTAAACCTGCTGCCCAATAGCATCCCATGGACCAGTGCAGGCTGGGGACTGACTAGCCAACTAGCAGCTCTGCAGAAAGGGACTTGGGAGTTACAGTGGACAGTAAGATAGATATGAGCCAACAGAAGACTGAGGGGGGATTTAATAGCCTTCAACTACCTGAAGGGGCATTCAAAAGAGGATCAAACTGGACTGTTCTTAGTGGTGGGAGATGAGGGAACAAAGAGCAACAGTTTCAAGTTGCAGCACGGGAGGTTGAAGTTGGATATTAGGAACAGCTTTCTCACCAGGAGGGTGGTGAAGCACTGGAACAGGTTACCCAGAATCTCCATCCTTGGAGGTTTTTAAGGCCCGACTCAACAGAGCCCTGGCTGGGATGATGTAGTTGGGGCTGGTCCTGCTTTGAGCAGGGGTTTGGACTAGATGTAACCTCCTCAGGTCACTTCCAGCCCGCATTTTCTATGATTTTATGATGTTTTAGGATATAAGCTGATATTGGGCTTCAATTTGCTGTCTCCTGCCTCGATTCCTCTGATCTCTTCTTTCTGACATCCAGGTGATCCCCAAAAGGACCAACCGCCCTGGCATCAGCACAACAGACCGTGGCTTCCCCCGGACCCGGTATCGAGGCCGCGGCTCCGGCTACAGTAGCTCCCGGGCCCGGTTCTACAGCGGCTACAGCAGACCCCGCGGGCCCGCGTACAGGTCCGGCAGGGCAAGCCAGGGGGGGCCCAGCCCACCTGGGCTTTCTCTCTAGCTCTGGGAGGGCAGTGGGGGAGGGGCTGGGTGCCAAAACCCCTGGGTTCCTGTCTGACTGGGAGAGGAGTGAGGTTGAACTGGGAGCCAGGATTCTTGGGTTCTATCCCAGCTGCAGGAAGGGCATGTGGGGGTGGCAAGTTAGAAACATCCCAGGGAGGCTGGGAGCTAGGACTCCTGGGTTCTGTCCCAGCACAGGGAAGGCAGAGGGCTTGGTTGAGTTAGAGTAAGAAAGGCCAGCAGCCTGGACACCTGGGTCGCATCCCAGCTTCGTGGGGGAAGTGAGCATTGCGGGAAGCCTGGTTCTAGAAGCACTTGCTCTGTGAACGGAAGGGCCCATTACTGGGAGTCAGGGCTCCTGCCTTCTCTGGCGCATTCTTGTCTCTTCCCATCCTCTATTTTCTACTCCTCTGTTAACCCGTTCCCTTGTTCTTCTCTTCGCAGGGGCCGGGCTAGAGCGACCTCATGGTATTCCCCTTACTAAAAAAAAAAAAAAAATAGAGGTGTTCTTTAGGAAGGACAGAAAAAAAAAAAGGAAAAAAAAAAAAAGAAGAACGTGACAATGATGAAAAAAAAAATACTGTGGGGGGGGCACAGCTGTCTGCACTGAGCCAGGGCTGTGCTCAGGGGTCTGGGGCGGGGGGCATGGCCGCCCGCGCGCTTCACTCCTCTGCCCTGCCTAGACACCCCCCTCTGTCTCTTGCCCCCTACTTCCCTGCGGGCTGAGAAATCGGGAGGGTAGCTCCCACTGCCTGCTGGGTGTTTTCCTTTCCCCCCCACCTCAGCGGCCTGCATGTCTTGATGCCTCCCCACCACACACGTCTTTCTCTTCCTGTTCTTCCACTTCTCTGGGGGCCCCACAGAGTGTGTGGAGGGCTGGGGGCTGGGGGGAGAAGGGCCTGGCTGTCCCCTGACACCGGCTCTGTCGCTTCCCATATGTTCTTTCTTTAACCCTCTCCCTGCCAGCACAGGGAGGGTCTCGACTCCTTTCCCTCCTGTTTGTCATTTGCTTTCCCCCCCTCCCCCAGCCCCATCAGGCTGGGTGGACGGTGGCATACAGCCACCCCTCCCTCATTGACTTATTCATTCCCTTTCCTTTTCCCCTCAAGCCCTGACTGAAGAGGGGGGCACCTGCCCTGTGTCCTCTATGCTCTCCTTCCCCTCCTCCCCACCCTTTACTGCTGGATTCCCTCCTTCCCTGGGGTGGGCTGTGTTACATGCTGTATTTGAGTGTCTTTATCTTTGCAGGTGTCTTTAGCCTTGAAGGAATCTTCAAGCGCCAGGAAGCTCTTGAGACCAGATTAAAATATTTTTTTTGGAGGGGGGGGAGTAGGGCGGGAGTCTATGGGAGAAGAATAATTTTGGGGGTGCTGCTTTTTTTTCCCCTCCCCCCTCCCTGACTTATTTTTATTTCCAGGCTGGGGGAGGGGAAGGGCTGGGGGGGGAAGAGGGAGGAAGAAAATAGAAATTAAAAAAAAATGTTAAGAGGGCAGGAAAAAAAAATAAAAGATGTTTTTGGAAGAAAGACTGGTGCCCAGACGTGTAGATTTGGATGCTTTGGTGTCTTGGTCAAGGCTGGGTGGCAGCACTCATGGGTTCTCGGTAATGGCTATAAACAGCTCTGTGACAGGTGGTTGCATCTCAGCCTGGGGTGGGAGGGGGCTCTGAGAAATAAAGGCAGCAAAGGAGCTTGATGTGGATTTGAGATGGGGCTCAAATGTGGAAGCAGCAAAAAATGACTTCAAGGCAAAGCATGAATGCCCTTAAGGAGGTTCCCAACCTGAGCAAGAGGGAAATGCTGACCTAATGCAGCTGATTGAAACCTCAAGCAGGCTGTTCGGGAGTGAGCAGTAGGTCTACATGGACAACAGAAATCACCAGCAAGGAGGGAGCCCTTCTGCGGTTAAGGAGCTGGCCTGAGCCTTGCTTAGGAGCTTGATCAAAAAATCCTTTGGGTGATTAAGCAAGAACCAGGAGGGCAGAAGTGAGGCCCTGGACACTGAAATCAGCATGGAGATGGATGCTAACTTGGACATGGTCCCGGAGCTGGACATGTCCTTTTCCTCTTTTCAATAGGGATGAAGAGGTAGCTGAGGAGCTAGGTGATGAGGACACGAGTTATAGAAATTGCAGATTAATCAAAGGTGGGAGCAAACCGCTTCCAAAGTGCTGCCTGTGGGGGCCATGGTGGGAAGGAAAGTGCTGTACCTTCTGTTCATTCAAAGGCATAAATGGTCCTGTTTACATGTAAGAATTATCTCGACTACTGGGTGCAGTTCTGGTCTCCACATCTCCAAAAGGATGTAAAATTAGAAAAGGTCTGGAGAAGGACAACCAAAATGATCAGGGCCCTGGAGCAGTTGCCATACCAAGAGAAACAAAGTAGGCTTAGACTCTAGTTTCATAGATTTCATAGACATTAGGGCTGGAAGGGACCTCGGAAGATCATCGAGTCCAGCCTCCTGCCCAAAGGGCAGGAAGTCAGCTGGGGTCGTAGGATCCCAGCAAGATGAGCATCCAGTTTGCTCTTGAAGGTGTTCAGTGTGGGCGCTTGAACCACCTCCGGTGGCAGGCTGTTCCAGACCTTGGGGGCTCGGACAGTAAAGAAGTTCTTCCTTATGTCCAGCCTGAAACGGTCTTGTAGTAGTTTATGACCATTCGACCTCGTCATCCCTTGGGGCGCTCTGGTGAACAAACGTTCACCCCTGATAAACTTATAGGTGGCCATCAGATCACCCCTGAGCCTGCGCTTTTCCAGGCTAAAGAGCCCCAGGGCTCTCAGCCTGTCATCATAGGGTCTGCTTCCCTGACCTCTGATCATGCGCGTGGCTCTTCTCTGGACTCTCTCAAGCTTCTCCACATCCTTTTTGAATTGTGGAGCCCAAAACTGGACACAGTACTCCAGCTGCGGCCTCGCTAAGGCCGAGTACAGGGGGAGAATGACGTCCCGGGATTTGCTTGAGAAGCATCTATGGATGCAAGCCAGCGTTTTGGTCGCTTTACTAGCCGCCGCATCGCATTGCAGGCTCATGTTCATCTTGTGGTCAATGATGACCCCCAAGTCTCTTTCTTCCATAGTGCTAGCCAACATAGCACTGCCGAGCCTATAAGGATGCTGCGGGTTTTTTTTCCCAAGGTGGAGAACCTTGCATTTATCGGCGTTGAACACCATCAGATTCTCGTCCGCCCACTTGCTGAGCCTGTCCAGGTCAGCCTGGATAACCTGCCTGTCTTCTGGTGTGGATGCTTTTCCCCAAAGTTTGGTGTCATCGGCGAACTTGGCCAGTCCGCTTCTGACTCCAGTGTCCACATCATTAATGAAGATGTTGAACAGTATGGGTCCAAGGACACAGCCTTGGGGGACCCCACTGGTCACAGGACACCACGATGAGTGACTTCCATCAATTACTTCCCTCTGGGTCCGACCCCAGAGCCAGTTTTCCAGCCAGTGGATCGTGGAGGACCCAAGGCGACAATTGGCCAGTTTCTCTAAGAGGTGATTATGGGAAACCAGGTCAAAGGCTTTTTTGAAGTCAAGATATATGACATCAATCTCTTCTCCCTTGTCCAGGTGATAGGTCACCTGGTCGTAGAAGGAAATGAGATTGGTCAAGCAAGACCTACCCGCAACAAACCCGTCCTGGCTATCCCTTAAGATGTTGGCGTTGGCCAGTCCATTAAGGATGGCCTCTTTAATAAACTTTTCTAAGATCTTCCCCGGGATAGAAGTCAGGCTGATGGGCCTATAGTTAGCCGGATCCACTTTCCTCCCTTTCTTGAAGATAGGCACCACATTGGCCTTCTTCCAGTCTTCGGGCACTACACCAGAGCGCCAAGAGTTTTCAAAGATCCGTGCTAGAGGCTGGGCTATGATGCTCGCCAGCTCCTTGAGTACCCTGGGGTGAAGATTGGAAAAAAGGCTGAGGAGAAGGCCTATAAAATCAAGAAAGTTGTGGACCAAGTGAACAGGTAACTTGTTCAAGTGCCAAGATACCACTGAAATGAGTAGGGGACAGGTTTAAAACTAAAAAGGTTTTTTTTTGTTTTTGTGTTTTTGTTTGCTTGTTTTTACACCATGCCTAGTTAATCTGTGGAATTCATTGCTGCAGGACATGGGTGAAGTGGATAGCAGAACCAGGTTCAAAAAAGGACTAGACTAATTGAAGGTAGACAAACATCTTAGTTGGAGATGTTTCTTCTGGTATCTAAGCCAATAATGGAGGGCATGAACAGACCTATCTCGTTTGGTGCTCTTCCTTCAACCGTCAGTTCTGTTGGAGACTGGATGCTGGGCTGAATGAACTGTTGGATCTCTGTTCCAGAATAGTGATGGAGCAGTGACTCCTTTAGCACTGGTTGTGGGTAGTTTTCCTTTCGGGGCGGATGCAAATATAGCATTTTTCTTTGTTTTTGTGGGAAGGGAAGTGCCAAGGTTTTGATTCGGAGTTTTTTTTTTGGTGAAACCGTTGGCCAAAAATGGCAGAGATGGGGGAATTGGATCCTAGAGGTACTTCAGCAGATGACATGGAAAGTTGAGTTAGGTAGAGGACGGCCACCAGCATGTTCCTTGGAGATCTAGGGATCTCTATTGTAGAGCACGATTTCTAGTTTGGAGGCCCTAAACTTCAAGAATGTGGCCAGATTAGAAAGAGTCCAGCACAGTGTGTTAAAAATGGACCTGAAAAGTAAGACTGAGGAAAGCTTGTAAGGATTAAGGTGATTTAGTCAGGAGAAGAGGCAACGGGAGGGTGATCACAGAGATGATCTTTTCTCTGGCTGTAGGGCACAGAACTGGGAGCAGTGGCCTCAGTTTTCCCTGTTGCACTTGGAGGTTGCAGATGAGAAAGTTTATGATAATGAGGGTGGTCATGATGAGAGAGGGGGTGGGATCTCCATCCCTAGAAATGTTCAAGAGCAGGTTAGAGATTGTTGCAATGGTTGAGTCAGGGATGATCCTACTTTGAGCAGAAGGCTGGACTAGAAAATGTAAGTGTCACGTGGGGTCATACCAGTGGTCCATCTAGCCCAATAGCCTGTCTCCAACAACAGCAGAAGTGGATGCTATATTGAACTGGATATCTCTAGTGTGATCTGTGCCCTTTTCAGTACCCTTCCTGGTGATCAGAAGGTGTCTTGATGCCCACCTTGCTGGGATCATCTGACCCCAGTGGTCTTTCCTGCCCAAGTCCAGAGGGGCTGGACCTGATCTGTAAGGTCCCTTCCAGACCCTAACAACTACGAAGCTGAAAGATTCTGGAGGAAGTCTCCCCAACCATTCTGTTCAGTAGCTGCTGATAGATCCACCATCCATGGTTCAGTCGTCCCTAGTTGAACCTGACTCTGCTCTCTGCCTCCACCCCTTCCTGTGGCAACAAATTCCAGAAGTTAACTATATGTTGCATAAAAAGACTTTCTCTTGCTAATTTTAAACCTCACTTCTCTGCATGTCAGTGGGTGCCCCTTTTTTCTAGTGTTCTGGGACTCGGTGAACAAATTCCCTGTTCGCTTAGTCCACACCCTTCATGATACTATAGAATCATGATGTTTTTATAGATGACCTTGCAAGGTCCCGTCCAGCTCTCCTTTCCCATGATCCTGTGATGTTTTTAACAGTGAGCTTGGTCTTTGAACTAAGTATGTTGTTGGGATGATCTAACAAGGTCTCTTCCAGCCCTAAACTGTAAGTCTGTGTGAATCTGAAGAGGACTGCAGTTGTCACACAGGAAGGTTTACAACCTGGCTGTAGGAGCTGAGCAGAGTTCAACTTTGAAGCCATGCCCCTGGGGACCAGTAACGGGGACTTCAGAGGAAGAGAGGAACCATAGGATGACTGAGCCACCAACATTAAGCAGCCCACCCCAACCATTGGGCATGTCAAGTCAGGTGTATTCAGTACTCCCAAAGTGATACTTCATAGCCATTAGATAATGCATTGACAAGGTGCTATGAGCTATTCTGTTTTTCCATATTAAAAAAAAAAAGAATTTGAGCTGGGACAAGTTCAAAGAAAGGCCCCAGAGGTGGCAAAGGGAGGGAAGATCTTTCCTTATCAAACAACTTTGGAGGGACTCTGACACTGGATGAATTGGCGAAAGGGTACATTTGCTACTGGAAACAAGGCTTTTTG